CCTGCTGAGATGGGCTCCTTGTCCTCTATGGAGCGTAAAGATCCCTTGTACATCCTCTGATCAAGGAGCTGTTTTCTTTTGTGAGATCTTTTCCTAATTCACATGACGTCACATCATCGTACGCTCTTTTTACACTTAGGCTTTCACAGTCAGATCATGACTGCTTCTGGCCATCCACTGAATGATAGTGAGATAACGGGAACGTAACAAAGTAAGGCCATATTTATTAAGTAAGGATACTGTAGGTCTCTCAGCAGTTTGTGTGTATTCTTTCAGTTTCAGCTAGCATGTCCCAGGGCCTGTGGGCACCAAGATGCTTTGTGGTTTTGGATACCAAGAAGAATTCTGTAAGAAGTACTAGGTCCTGTATACATTAAGGGGAAAAGAAAAAAAGAGAGAACTACATCTTGATTTTATTAGGGGAAAATAAAAGCCTGGGACAGAATACACCAGAGTGCTAAGACTAACTACCTCTCAGTGTTGTGATTACAGATAATTTACAGTTTCTATCTTTATCTGAATTTTTACATTTTCTGTAATGAACACATTCTCTGTTTTACTTATTTTTGGCTGCGTTGGGTCTTTGCTGCTGCGCGCGGGCTTTCTCTAGTTGCGGTGAGCAGGGGCTACTCTTCGTTGTGGTGTGCGTGCTTCTCATTGTGGTGGCTTCTCGTAGCAGAGCACGGGCTCTAGGTGCGTGGGCTTCAGTAGTTGTGGCACGCAGGCTCAGCAGTTGTGGCTCACGGGCTCTAGAGTGCGGGCTCAGTAGTTGTGGCGCATGGGCTTAGTTGCTCCGCGGCATGTGGGATCTTCCCGAACCAGGGCTTGAACCTGTGTCCCCTGCGTGGGCAGGCGGATTCTTAACCACTGCGCCACCAGGGACGCCCTATTCTTTTCTTAAAAACATTTTCCGTAAAAATCAGAAAATAGCTTTGGCTGTTTCAAAACAAAACAAAACAAAACAAAAAAACAAAAAAACTTCGGCCTGCTTTAGCAACAATGTGCATCCTAGGGATTTCCCGCTATTTTTTTTGGTTTTCTTAACCCAACCCTCCTTTCCTTTCCCAACAGCACATATTCTTTCAGTACAGACAGAAGTCAAACACCGCCCAGAGGGAGGTCACCAGGCCCAGAACCCCAGATACGGTCAGCTTTGATTCCCAAACAACATGGAGCTCAGGGCATTGCACTCGATTGGGGTTTAGCTGAATGGCTTTTTTCTTCTTCTTTTCTCATGGCTGCGAGAGTAGGAACACCCAGCTCATCCTAGGTACCACATTTGTCCTTCAGTTCATTCCTGATGCTTTTATCCCCAGACCCCAAATTCTCAGGGGCCCAACGTATGGAATAGGGCTAGACTTCTATCACCAAAGGCGTGCTTCCACCTCAGAAGCCTGGAACCTTAACCCGTATGGAAGGAAGTCCCCAAGTAAACACGTGAGTAAACAGAAGATCTTTGGGCGAGGCAGCTGTAAATACGAGGAATTTTATTTTATTTTTTGCTGACATACTATGAGGCAAAACAAAATTGACACCATACAAAATAACTTTATAAAATATCATTCACATCATATTGTATCAGATTTACAGCATTCTGTGCATGTTAAGGGTTATGTAAGGAGGTGAAAA